GGGGGGGGGGGGGGGGGGGGGGGGCTTCATACAAATTCATATTGCGTGCCTTGCCAACTGAGCTGAACGCAATAAGGCCACCCGGACCGAGGTCCCATTAGCAAAGACGATCGGATTGAATACCTGAATGTGGATGTCTTTTACGTAGAGATGCAGAAAAGCAGTTCAATCTCGATTTCCTGCACCTGCCCACAAACACGTCCAGATTCAGGCATTCAACGTTGACTTCACCTGGGCTGGTTACTCCCATGATAATACCTCAATGCCATCGCCCTTTCAATATATATGTCACAGCCCCTCGTTTGTTGTCCTCTTCTCCCTCTCTGCCTACGGTTTACCGTCGGCAGTTCTATTTGTGACGATATATATATATATATATATATATATATATATATATTACCAACAGTTGTCTCTGTAAATGGCTCCAATTTTTTATTTTTTTATTTTTTTTTTGGAGAAACGTGACACTTTTCATTCCAAAGAGATCACCGGGGCCGGGAACACACCCCTACATATCAACCCGGTAGGCAGCTGCTGAGGCCAAAACTCAGCTTAGGCTACTGGAAACCGGGTCCAGTGTCCCTTAAAGGGATCTCCAAAAAGGAAACAAAAAATTACTGAGCAAATCTATGAGAATATAATGTCCTACCTACGCCATAGAGCACCGACATGCTTCTGAAGTCGAAACACTAATGGCTCCGTACCACGGGCTGTAGGCTGCAAATCTCTAAAAAGCCTCAAGGCAATTCACGAAAAATTAACAAATAACCCTACGATTATTCCAAACCGACTAGATTCTTGGATACAATTCAATTATAAAATCCCCTCCAAATACCTACAATTATCCAAAGCCAAAATTAGAACTCAATTTATTACTAATATCTAAAGACAATAAGCGATAGACAATTTACAGAAAACGAGAGTAACATCCTAGACAGTTCAAAAATCAGCTACGTAGACAACTCTAAATCCCATAGGGTTCGGAACTTAGAACACCCACGTAACGAAGGTCCAATTCCCCGGGCGACGTTCCCACCACCACTAGTAAGTCTCCCACGCCCACTAATGATGCCGCCACCCCAAGGGCTTCGGAGCTTCACAAACCCAACAAAGAACTCATATCTTTATCATATTAATTTCCTAGGTACTGCCGTAAGATTTCAGTGGTAAATTATTCGCAGGAATTCCCAAAATAACCAAGGGTCGAGCGCAGAACACTCCCCGTACCACTCACGGCTTGGGTGACCCTACAACACTATTCCATGTGCTTAAAGAACTCGGCAGAATAGACTGAGACAATCATCAACAACAGGAAACAACATAATCCGTCCAAAATCAGCTACGTAGACAACTCTAAATTCCATAGGGCTTCGGAGCTTAGAGCAGCCACGTATAGAAGGTCCAACTCTCTCGGCGACGTTCCCACCGCCACTAGTAAGTCTCCCACGCTCACTTATGGTGCCACCACCCCAAAGGACTTCGGAGCTTCACAGACCCAGCAAAGAACTCGTATCTTTATCATGAGGTTACCACATGGACAAACCCAAACAAACTTCGAAAGGTCTACCCTATTCAAAAACAACATAAACAATTCAAAAAACAGCTACGTAGACTACTCTAAATTCCATAGGGTTGGGAGC